TCATGGGTCAGTCTTCGTGCATGCTCAGATCATTTCCTTTCCTTGCTTGAAAAATTGTTCCAAAATGAAAGTTGAACCCACATCTTTTTTATCCGTGAATTCAATGCCGTTTGGCGAGTCTCAAATAAAAATTTGAGTGTTTTATTGCTGTAAAAACATATACCATTAATGTAAAAAAGAAACTCAAAATAAGCCATGTTCATACCCAGAATCAAACCCAGGTTCTCAGCATGAGAGTCAGCCATCTTACTTGGTGAGCTAAAGCACCAGTAACCATTTGATGTATCTGTAACATTTATATCCTTAATGACAGCTGAAATAAAGCCAATCCAAAGAATGGGTCGGAGCGAAAATGGCTGTTTTATTGCAGGAAATATCTGGAAGAAAGTTCTACAGAAAGTAGCTAAGGGTCCTCAGAAATGTAGCTAATTTTGAAGTCACTCTTTAGGACCCATTCGTGGGTCCTCGGGTCCGCTGGAGCTTGAAGTTGCCAACGATCATGTGCTACCCCATCTAATGGACAATTGATTGACTTTTGATGATTTGTAATTTATTCTCTGTATATTGTCAAGTATTATTTATTGTATGTATTGTTAAATAAGTGTTATAATATATTCTACATTGGTACGAACCTAACAGTCTATTCCATTCTGTCTCTATGTCACTTACTCCTGTGGGTTGATCCTAGTTTCTGATCTGAATTACATCTAGTCCTGATAAAACAAGTCACCCAAATTACTCCCATTCATGTTACACTATGCCTAAGCGTGAACGCGCATGAAGCAGCCTGCTCGACCCAAGCAGCTCTCTTTTTCTGTGATTTTACAGAAAAACAGGAAATCACAGTAAAAATGCCAGGGCTCATTCTACGGGACCAGGGCATTGCAGGAGAATGTATGAAGAAGAAATTTATTATTTCTATACATGTTTTGACTGTCAAACTTCCTTGTAGTCCCTTTAACTTCAGGAGGTTCTTGTTCTCTAGGTACCACATCCACATCTGGTGGAAAACCAAACCAGAACTCAGCAGGTATCCCAGATGAGGCAGGAAACACACAAAGACCAAGTTTCTGTTAGTTCTGATGAACATCGGATCCATTTGTCTTTTGAACAGTTTACATTTCAGCTTAATATGAAAAATCTAACAAAAACTTCTTTTTTAAATAAGGACTTCTCCATCTCATTTGGACTCCATACAAAGCACATTATCTGGTTCTGATCAGACCAGTTTTAAAGTTTATGGATCGGGAACAAACACAGGCTCTGCTTATTTTTAAATTATTCTCACGAATCAATTTGAAACTGGACAGAACATTTGATCTACTGGGGCAGCAGTAGCTCAGGAGGTAGTGCGGGTTGCCTCATGATCGGACGGTCATGGGCTCGATTCCAGCTCCCGCCAGGTGTATTCTGCTGTTGTGTCCTTGAGCAAGACACTTCACCCATCTTGCCTATGTTGGTGGTGGTCAGAGGGCCTGATGGCACCAAATGGCAGCCTCGTCTCTGTCAGACCACCCCAGGGCAGCTGTGGCTTCAAAGTAACCTATCATCACTAGCAGTGTGTGAATGTGAGAGTGCATGAAAGTGTCTTTGAGTGTCCTAAACAAGCGCTTTACAAGTTCGATGTATTATTAATATCATTATTATTATTATTATTATTATTATTATTATTGTTATTATTATTATTATTATTATTATCATTATTATTATCATTATTATTATTATCATCATTATTATTATTATTATTATTATTATTATTATTATTATTATTATTATTATTATTATTATCACTGCCCTAGCGGCCTAAGGTGTCTTACCTTTGTGGTGGGTGAAGCATGAGCAGGTTGTACAGGTGCAGGTTGTACAGGTTCAGCCGGAGCTGCTGGACCTTCTGGTTTTCTGTGCAGAGCCTCCAGGTCCAGGTTCAGGTCCTGGATGGACTCGTAGATGTGGTGGGAGTCTACCTCCTTCGGTGACTCCTCCTCTTCTTCGCTGCTTTCTGTGCTTATCTCCTCCTCTGCCACCTCCTCCTCCATCTGCTGCTCCTCCTTTTTCTCATGGCCACCCTTTGATGGTGAGGACATGCTACTGGGAGGAACCACTGGCATCTTCACTGGGATGGGCTGGTTCTGCGGCCGGGTCATGCTCTTAGGGTCTGCTGGACTAAAACTGGGAACTCGAGATTTCCCAGAATCCTTCTGGTCATCTAGACTCGACAAATGAGGCTGCTTTTTACAGTCCACCATGTTTGTAGTCCGACTTGCCGTAGAGGTTGCAGATTCTGTAGAAGCAACAGAGGGGGTTTTGGGGAGCTGTGGTCCCATATGTGCCAGGTCTGACACATCCATCATTACACCAAAGGTGGACATGCGATTGTCGACTTTCTGTTGTCGATTGGAGGCAGCAGGCCTGAGGCTGATTAGCACCTCATCACTTTGTTTGGTTCTGGTTCCGCTGAGCTCTTCTAGAGGTTTAGGAACAGGGACAGCAACAGGAACAGGAGCCACCACAGGATGTAGCACCTGTTTTGGAGTGGGTGGGTCAGTGAAGTCCAGTGGAGACGGGAAGTCAGGGGGCAGCTCTTTGACGTACTTGGCAGGGATGTAGAAGGGTTTGGAGTTGCTGTCCTTTCTGACTTGCCACCAGTGGTCGTTGGTCTTGGACAGCAGAATGTAGCGCTCATTGGGTTTGATGGAGACAAGAACCCCGTCCCGACCTTCATATTCATACTCAAACTCCACCAGGACCAGACCCAGCCCTGAAAAATCAGAAGTTATAACAGAGTGGGTTAAGCTTGGAGGTCACTGTTTCTAATGCTGTGTCAGAACCTGGTTATGCTGCAGTTGGTTTGGTATAATAAACATCTGAGCTGTTTCCTATTTCTCCAAATTTATCTATTTTTAGATATTTTTTTTACAAGTTTACTGATGTTTTATTGGTGTTCTGTGAAACAAGCAGACAGGTTATATGATGATTCGGTCAGATAACCACGTCCATCAAATGTAACAACCTAAAACCACAGCTGTAAAGGCTTATGGAAAAAAATGAATTTGATGAGAATCTTAATAAAATGGAACACAACCTTGTCAGAACCAGGAGGTGCTGTTTGTTTCTGAATTTCAGTTCATAAAAAGTTCAGTTCAAAGCCATCACTCACCTCTGCTTAACAGGGGGGAGGGCACAGCCATTTTATAGCCCTGTGTTCTACAGGCCCCGCCCCCTCAGGTAGATGAATGAAGGTGAGGGTTCAAAAATCAACCCAGATTCGCAGCCACCTAAAAAGGTAAGAATACACAAGATAAACAAGATCCTGTCAAATTGAAACTCTGTCTGGAATTTAACACTTCCCTGGTCTTAGTCTGCATCATTATCATCATAACCACTACTATTATAATCTTTATCATCATCATCATCATCATCATCATCATCATCATCATCATCATCATCATCATCATCACCTTCACTAGCATCATCATCATCATAACCACTACTATTATCAAAATCATAACCACCACCTTCATCATCTTCATTATCATTATCATCATAGTCATCATGATCATGATCATCATTATCACTACTACCACCATCATAACCAATACCATCATCCTCTTCACCATCATCATCACCAGTAGCATTATCATCTCCACTATCATCCTCATCATCAACATGATTATCATCTTCACTACAATCAACATCTTCACTATCATCCTCACCATCACCATCCTCTTCATAATTACCATCTTTATCTTCATTATTATCACTACCATCATCATACCTGTCATGATCATCATTATTGCCAACATCATCATTCACCTACACCACTGAACTGGCCCTTTGCACTTTGCCAGTTATAGGCATTATTCCGGTGTTTTAGATCATGTGATGTAAATCTTTTGCTTTTACTTTGTGAAGTGCCTTGGGAAGACTCGTTGTGATTTGGCGCCATATAAATAACTGGATTTTGTCAGAAAGAGGGCGATGTGTCCGAATACGTTGGACAACCTCAGTCAATTTCTGCTCTTCACGTAAGTCCAGCTGCTGACTGAACCATTATCCTGCGATCCTGAAACAACTTTGTTTGGTGATCTTATGTGAACTGATTAGGATTTTTTTGGCCCAATTTTCAGAACTTTTTCTGGATTATTCTTCATTTATTTGGTGTCATTGATTGTTTCTGACTGTTTGATTGATGACAGTTCTCTGAAACATGAACCAGTACCTGTTTGAGCTCCAGACCTGTACCTGTTTGGAACCACGATCCAGTATCTGTTTTGCCCCAGGACTAGACCTGTAAAGTAGTATTCTTTTATTTCTAACAGCGGATTGACTGGCATTTAAACCAAGAGAGTTCTTTTATACCCAATCGCCACACACACAGACCGCTTCAGGAATGAGAGCTATGAGTTATGTTGCTTCTTCTGCAGGTTGACACATGCCTGAGTATTTCAGCCCTAAACACTCTGCCCTAGTGGTATTCAATCCTGGTCCTAACCTTTTGTAGATGTTTTTCTGCTGCAACTCGCCTGATTTGAATCTGTGGTGATGCCAGTCTTCAGCAGAACTAAAGGAGCTCCCGAGGAGGTAACACAAACATTAATCAGATGTGTTTGGAAAGAGAAATACCTGAAACATGGAAGATGGTGACCCTGAAAGACCCAAAATGTGACGTACTCGTAGAGGCATGCAGCTTTCGATCCTTACTGTGAAACTTAAACCTCATTTATTGCAGCTTTCAGAGTTCAACAGTCTGCAGGTTGCCATGGAGATACTCTACCCTTTTAATGAGGGGAAATGATAAGTGGATGGAGTCAATGAATTAATGTTATTTTTCTTTTTCTTTGAAGCCAGACAGAGCGCCATCAGCAGAAATTGTGAAACAGCAAATTTTGTTTGTTTTATTTAACCATTAGGGCACTTAAACCCCTCCACCACCATAACGTTGCAGTTGAAGGCAAAAAGCTCTCCAGAGTACATTCCACAAAATAAATTGCAACAGGTAGATCCTCAATAATTCCCGTTTTAATCCCTGTCCATTCTGAGGGGATCCAACAACAACCCTGCTGTCTTTTCTGTCCTGCTATGAATGTTATGGTTTGTGGTTTGGGACCAGTCCTGCTGTTTCGCCGTCACAAGCTAGACCTGAGATGGACCTATAGGGCTGAATCACAGGAAGCGCTGCCTGGCTCCTTCAGTTATGTTTTTGATGCTTGACAGTTTTCCTGCCTGGTAGCCTCAGAACCAGGCACTGTATTACCAAACAATGGCAGAAGACTGGTCTAAGGCCAGCTCTGTTTACAGAGGGAAATCCTGCTCTTCCTGTAGGCTGTAGGCCCCATGCACACTGCTGCGTTGACTCCACCCCACCGTGACATCACACACTGATGTGTGTATCTGTATTTCCTGCCTTTGTGAACCAACAATAGTGTTACTTGTGTTAAAATATTTAGAGCAGACCACCTAAATATATTTGATTGGTTCGTTTGAGATCTAAAAGATTTATTAGACTCTTCTCCCACAGTTCAAAGTTTACATTTCTGCTCACGGCGACAGGAGGAGGTTAGCAAGGTTCAAATGTGACAGGTCTCCCTCATTCTCCTCTATCCACAAGCAATATGTTATGACACTCAGACCAAACACACAGGCACTCTCACGCACTCTCACCTAAGCCTCGCAGCTGTGTGGAGCACAAAACAAACTGAGCTGTCAGTCATTAACTAAGGGTGGAGATTTGGTGGCAGGAATGTTGACATATCAGGGCAGAGCAGATATTTAAAGGAGAGTCTTCCATTTATTTGTGTTCTGGAATTGTGTATTCCTGAGGTTCCCCACGGAACCCACGTCCATCTCTAAAAGTCACTGGGAAAGAAGTGGGGGACACTTTTTTTTTACAGGTCACAAATTCAGCCTGAAATCACACGTGTAGAAACATAAGTCATTCCACCATTCGCATATTCACTCACACCTAGTGACTATTTAGAGTTGCCAGGTAACCTGTATGGGGAAGCAGCAGTATGTGAAGGAAGCCGTGGCATGCACACAGGAAACTTGCAAGCTCTGGAAAAGTATTTGAACTGGCGACCTCCTTGCTGCAATGCAACAGTGCAACCAACTGCACTATCATGAGGCCATCTGTCAAAGTCCTCTTCAACCACATGCTGAGTGTGTCATGTGACATAGAGCTAACAACCAATCACAACTCAGCATATATGAGTTATTTCACCTTTGCTCTGTGAGTAAATGTAGATGTGGTCACATTTAGTGCAGACGTTTCTAAGTTCAGGTCATAATGTAGCCAAATCTGAATACACAACATGTCTACACAACACACACAGAGCAACAACATCATGTCTAAAAACACACACAGACCAACAACATCGTGTCTACACAACACACACAGACCAACAACATGTCTACACAACACACACAGACCACCAACATCATGTCTACACAGATAGACCAACAACATCATGTCTACACAGATAGACCAACAACATCATGTCTACACAGATAGACCAACAACATCATGTCTACACAGATAGACCAACAACATCATGTCTACACAGATAGACCACCAACATCATGTCTACACAGATAGACCAACAACATCATGTCTACACAGATAGACCACCAACATCATGTCTACACAGATAGACCAACAACATCATGTCTACACAACACAGACAGACCAACAACATCATGTCTACACAACACACACAGACCAACAACATGTCTACACAACACACACAGACCACCAACATCATGTCTACACAGATAGACCAACCACATTTCTACCAACACACACAGACCAACAACATCATGACTACACAACACACTCAGACCAACATCATGTATACACAACACACACAGACCAACAACATCTTGACTACACAACACACTCAGACCAACATCATGACTACACAACACACTCAGACCAACATCATGTATACACAACACACTCAGACCAACAACATCATGACTACACAACACACTCAGACCAACATCATGTATACACAACACACACAGACCAACAACATCTTGACTACACAACACACTCAGACCAACATCATGACTACACAACACACTCAGACCAACATCATGTATACACAACACACACAGACCAACAACATGTATACACAACACACTCAGACCAACATCATGTATACACAACACACTCAGACCAACATCATGTATACACAACACACACAGACCAACAACATCATGACTACACAACACACTCAGACCAACATCATGTATACACAACACACTCAGACCAACATCATGTATACACAACACACACAGACTAACAACATCATGACTACACAACACACTCAGACCAACAACATCATGACTACACAACACACTCAGACCAACATCATGTATACACAACACACTCAGACCAACATCATGTATACACAACACACACAGACTAACAACATCATGACTACACAACACACTCAGACCAACAACATCATGACTACACAACACACTCAGACCAACATCATGTATACACAACACACTCAGACCAACATCATGTATACACAACACACTCAGACCAACATCATGTATACACAACACACTCAGACCAACAACATCATGACTACACAACACACTCAGACCAACAACATCATGACTACACAACACACTCAGACCAACAACATGACTACACAACACACACAGACCAACATCATGTATACACAACACACTCAGACCAACATCATGTATACACAACACACACAGACCAACAACATCATGACTACACAACACACTCAGACCAACATCATGTATACACAACACACTCAGACCAACATCATGTATACACAACACACACAGACTAACAACATCATGACTACACAACACACTCAGACCAACATCATGTATACACAACACACACAGACCAACAACATGACTACACAACACACACAGACCAACATCATGTATACACAACACACTCAGACCAACATCATGTATACACAACACACACAGACCAACAACATCATGACTACACAACACACTCAGACCAACAACATGACTACACAACACACACAGACCAACATCATGTATACACAACACACTCAGACCAACATCATGTATACACAACACACTCAGACCAACATCATGTATACACAACACACACAGACCAACAACATCATGACTACACAACACACTCAGACCAACATCATGTATACACAACACACTCAGACCAACATCATGTATACACAACACACATAGACCAACAACATGACTACACAACACACTCAGACCAACAACATGTATA